CCGTCGGTTTAGGGACCGCCGCCCTTACCGGCGGCTTATATTTGCAAAATCACCGGTGCAGTCGTCGTTAAAATCCGACTGCCAAACCGCCGGTGGTGCCGCCGGTACTACCGGCGGTCCTAAAACCGCCGGTTTAGGGCATTTTTCCTGTAGTGAGCTAACAATGAGGGAGTGTGTTTGTTGAATTTAAATTTGCATACGGGCAAAAAAAGAATAATAAAAAAATAAGAGTATAGTAAATGATTCGAGATCCTTTTAGCTCACCTTTTGATCGCCTATTATTAGAACTTTTATTACATCCGGTGAACATACGCTCCTCTACGTTCGGTTTTAGACCAAAACAGTGCAATACCGAGTTTTTTTAAAAACCTCGGTAATCGATATTGCGCTTTTTTTGCCTAGATTAAAACCCGCAGAGGGGCCTACGTGTTAATTTCAAAAATTGGGTTACAAAGTCCTTAAAAGGATCCACTAGCTCACTAATGCTTGAACGAGCTACAAGACAAAAAAGAAATAAAACCTACGAGCCGGTGGTTCCTTCTCCTAAGACGAGGCAATATGACTTTTTTTCATGGGAATCCCCTAAAATTTAAATAATAATGATATGAATTCACAACTTTATCACAATAAACTAGCTTAATGAAGGAGGCAATAATTCTTTATATTTATTAAATATATGCCTAAATAAATTATTTATTTGCAATCAAATAAAGTCTTGCTTTGTGTGACAATAATGTTGCCACATAGCTTAGACAAGACCGGACGATGTAGATGTTCTTTTCTTTATCTTTTTTTTTTTATATTTTTATATTGTTTTGCATTATATGACTAAAGCTCAAAGGTTCAAAACAACCTCATAAGCGTTCAAACATGATCAGTTTTCCCTCTTGAAAGAAAGAAAAATAATGTTTTTAAGGATATTCTGATCAAAATAATATGTGGACATAATTTTGAATTTATTTGAAATGAGTACAATATAAAAATTAATTATTTATTTATCTATTTTATTCATCTTAAAATAAATTTTTAAAAATTTATTATGATTAAAATATCTTGATTTGAGATTTATTATTCAAAAGAGTGGAAGAAAAAAAATATTTATCAACAAATTAAAGTAGTCCAAGAGAAAAAATTCTGATCAAAATAATATGTAATAATATATAATTTTAAATTTATTTAAATTAATTTATTATTCATATATTATACTTTGTATTAAAGTAAATTTAAATATTTTGTAATTTATTATGATTCAATTTTGATTAAAATATTTTGATTTAAACTTTATTCCTAAAAAACGTGGAATAAAAAAAATCTCAGCAGATTAAAGTAGTCCAAGAAATGAAAAACTGCATGAATTTTCCTTTCAGAATACTCTGAAATAATTGCAACGCTGAAAATCATTATATTTTGTAAGATAAAATTTAACTGTTTAATCGTTCTACAATATAATTTATATTTTTTATTAATATAACGTGGAATAAAAAAAATCTCAGCAGATTAAAGTAGTCCAAGAAATGAAAAACTGCATGAATTTTCCTTTCAGAATACTCTGAAATAATTGCAACGCTGAAAATCATTATATTTTGTAAGATAAAATTTAACTGTTTAATCGTTCTACAATATAATTTATATTTTTTATTAATATTCTTTTTTTAATTTCCAAAAATTCTGATTTTTTTTAACCCTAAGTCTTTATAGCTTCACTTTCGTGGAAGGAAGAAGCTCTTCATTCTCATGGTATTTCATATATCTCTGTTATTTTGATATCACGCTCAGGTTTAATTATAGTTGTTTTGAGACAGAGAAGAAGAAGAAGAAGAAGAAGAAGAAGAAGAAGAGAGAGATGATATTGCAGAAATGAAAGAAGAAAACTTGATTTTTTTTTTCTTAATACTTAATCATGAAGCTAATGACGATATTTTGTTTTCTTTTCAGCAACAAATAATTTCCATTTATGTGATAAAAGAGGGATGAATCTTACAGAAATCTGGAATGAAATGTCGCATATATATTTTTTGTTTCTGATGAAGAAATACAAACAATGAAGAGAGTACAATAATTCTTGATTTGACCTTCCTTGGAAACTTAGGAGACAAACATGTTATGTAAGCAACATACTGTAGACTGATGCCTGAATCGATAATTATCAATAATTTTCAGTAAAATTTTGGTTTAATCTTCTTTGGGACAGCTTTCCTACTGCTTCTTAAAGTAATTATTTAGTATAAAATTTTTATTTTTAACTAGAAATTTGATTTAAGAAGCAATAAAAAAACAATCTCAAATAAAGGCTTAAGAGTAATTAAAATTCAATTATTCGCCATTGTTAACATCATAGTTTCACTTATAAAAAAACAATCTTCATCCGAGTCTGAATTACCAAAGTTAAATAATTTATGAGATAGAGATATTGTGAATCTTGTTAGTTAGATCTTGATCACATAAGCTTTCTTTTGACCTTTTTTGCTCCTCATCAAAGAAAATATTTTTTTTTTCAGAAGTCTCATTTTCGTGATTTTATTGTTACACCAATGTTCATAAAATTTGACTTGCTGATTATCATTCAACAGAAACTGCTAAACAAGAGGAATATTTTGAAGATAGAATCACCATCAAAATGAGAGTTTTTTCACAGCGCCATATTGCAGCTGTTTTAAAATTATTAAAATTTGAGTATATAGATTTCGTTTGAGACAGTTTTTTACTGCTTCCTGAAACAGTTTTTTTAGCACAATTTTTTGTACTAAAAAACATCTTTAAGAAACAGTACAAAGCAATTAAAAAGCTGTTTTAAGAATTAGTAAAAAAGCTATCTCAAACGAAATCTAAATGCTCAAATTTAAAAAAGCTGCTTTAAGAAGTTTAAAAAACAATCTCAAATGAAAACAAAATCTTAAAATTTTAATAAGTTGTATACTTAAAAAGCTGCTTTAAGAACAGTTAAAAAGTTGTCTCAAATGCCCTAATATAGTTAAATACATTGTGTAGAGATATTATTGTTAGGGAACGATGAACTAAATACAAAGAGAAATAGTAACC